TGCTTTCACATAAATATGCTTAATTTCTGTCATATTCACATACTCAGTAAGTGGTATTTTTAAGCTGAAAAAACCATGCATTTGTTGTAGCGCTAGAAATCCGAAGTTTTGTTTTCTGTATTAGGTGCTATGAGTGAACCACATATCTGAGAATTAGAGCCTCTTCCTTCCTTTAACGAATTGTAATTTTTTCCTTTTTTAAAATTATAAAGCAAATACAGAGAGCTCCTTTTTAATGCAGGAAAAATTCACACAGGGAATGCAAGTATTCTGCATAAGTATTTTCTAACCCATCTCTTCTCTAAGAGTGTTTACATGAATAAGAAAGGAAAACTGCAAATTTACTGTCCCTGTCAGCAAAAGCACTGAAGTGGTAAAGAAGCAATGTGATCTCTTTGAAGCTTTTTACATACACATTCATTTCTGTAACTAATCCCAGCTATCTGGTTATGATTTAATTGCACAGTGTACGGCAAGTCTTGGTGTTTAACATCTGATAAATAATACTAGAAGATCACATAAAATTTTATCTTACTAAAATCACTATTATAAGTAGATTATAAAAGTTTGTGTATTAGTTCTCTTTAAGGCAAAATGAAACCATAACTTGCCTATGGGAGACACAGGAAATCCTTTAAGTCTGTCCTTTGTCCATTTTAACAGTGCTTTTGAGATTAGAGTGGTGGGTTTTACAATGGCAGAGAACAAGTCACCAGCCTTGATGTGTTTTAGTTTCGATACCTGCATGAAATATGTGAAAACAAAAAAAAAACCCCAATCCAATATAAGGCAAGAAAATCTGACTTTTCTATTCACTTAATATTATTTTGACATTTTAACATGATCAAGTAGGTACACCTCAATTCTGCTTAAGTACTTAAAATAATTTAATACTCGTTTTCTAAAAACAGAGCTATAAAAGGTATCAGATTACATAATGACAATGTTACACATAGAACAAAACTGTTACCGCTGCAAAAGCGAGCAATTCCCGCTGATAAATTTGTTTATGTAAAGAACATTAATGAAATTGCAGCATACTGAAGAGGAAATACTAACATTTATTTGTCCAGCTGCACAGTTTATTTTCCTAAATCTGTATTTTTAAACTGTTTATAATTTTTCTTTTTCCATTGTGGGAGGTGAGAGGGAAAGATTGAATAGAACAAATTGAATTTTTTTTTTCCTGAATGTGAATTTCTTGTCCACTTCAAAACTGACAAACATGTCTCTAACTTGGAATTGTTTGGGCTTTTGCATGTTGAAGCAGCTTTGATTTATTTTACAAAACCAAAGCTGTACATATCTGTTGTTTAGAGCATGAATGGCAAGTACTCAAGACAGAAACAGACTTTTGAGAAAATGTAAAATATCAGACACTATAACTAAACCACGTGAACAGGTAACATATGCCACGTTCCTTGAATCAATGCAATGAGAGCCTCAGAATTTAATACTGGCAAAAATGTGCTTTATTATGTGACCCTTTGGACAGGCACACGTACGCTCATTTCCCCTACACAAACAAAGAACAGTTGTCCTTCTGTCCCATCTGTGTGTACTAACGTTAGAAAAATTTCAGAAATGCTCATTTAAAACACAACTTCAGCATCTTTTAGGGCCAGAACAACCAGCGTTTGCAGCGGCATGGGCTGCAGGCTCATTTCTGCCTTCGGTGCCACATACAGTTAAGTGTGAAGGTGACGCTGCACGGCCGAAGCTCAAAGGACGTGCAGAGGTGGAATTGCCATCGCTTGGGAATCACTTCGCTGCTATGAGTACGACCACGCTCATGTCATCAGGCTTGGGAGGCTCCATCTAAATCTTCTGAAACGCTCGATCGAGTAGCTATTTCCACATCACATCGTTTTGTGACACCTGGACCAATGAAGTATCTGTCGCTATTTTCTTTTAAAATGTATATGGAGACACCAGCAGCGCATCGAAGACACAGCCGAAAGAACAGTTTTTAGAGTTGGGTTTTGTTTGGGTTTGTTTTAGGTTTTAGAGGGCTTTTGGAGGATGACTAAGAGAATTCATACTTTGTCTTTCTCACTTGGTAAGAGCATTGTTACACCTGTTTAAGATTTTATTTTCAAGACAGAAAAATTGTCTATGAAAAGTCTAGATTCTTAAAAACGAAAAAATTTACTTCTCTGCCACTCTGGAGATTCAAACTTCAAAAGAAAGGATGGAAGCAATATCTATTGTCAATTTCCGTTTCTTGGGTACCTCTAAAATTTTTGATAACTTTTATTTTTTATGGCTTTGTGCTTCTTTTTGTTGATGTCCATTTGTATTGAATAAGTTGCTACATTAGTAAAATGCATATTTCTAATGTAAAAAACAAACTATTTTTTTTTTCTTAAAAAGAGAAAAAAATATTTTTTCAGGAAAAAACTTGGGGGTTCATGCTTAGCATGTTGTCTTTGCTGTTTTCTGTTCCACTTTGAGTTAGTAAGAGTTGGGTGCTAACCATTCAACACTGTTCAAAATCCTACTGTGAAGATCAGATGCTTTTATCTGTATGTGACTAGGGGTTTCTTTTTTTTTTTCTTTCCCCTGAACTTGTGTCTTTTGAAAACTCCATCCTGTTCATCCTGTTTCTAAATTATCTTTGTGGCTGTTACACTGGCCTTGAAGTTTCTAAACCTAATTAACAGATGTTTTCATCTATTCCAGAAAAAATACATTCTGTATCTGTGTGAGGATGGGAATGGAGGGTAACTGGAAACTAAGAGAAAAGAACATTAACAATTCATACTCTTGTATCAGTGCAAAATCAAACCCAGCATCACTAATGTCAACATAAGTACCAGTCAGAAGAGAACTAGGCCTGGTTCTGAATTTGTGGTTTGAGAAGAAATCCTTTTCCGGTAAGATTAGTTGTGATTTCAAAATTCACTGAATTCTTCTTTTTAAGTGTATAACTTCTGAGGAGTGCTTTCTAGGAAGCTATATTCTGCAGTCTTCATGTAAGATGACTTTATGGAGTATAGAGACATTCTTTATTGTTGTTTTTATAGATTATGTTAGAAGTTTTCCAACTTGTCATCTTTTTTTTTTTTTTTTACAGGACCATATACCTGTGCCCGAAACAAAGCTCCCCAACATACCGTGTGCTCTGTATTTGTGTTTGAGATTAACTGACCACTAAGAAAGGCATCTTTGGGATTTTTGAAATATATGAAATAACGTGGAGTGAAGTCATGAGAAGTTACCCTGAGAGAGGGGAGTGATACTGTAAAATCTGTATGGAAAATAGCTGCAATACTGCTGGTTCCCGGCTTTGGCTATTTGCTACACAAATACAAATTGCATTCACACTTGATTAAACCCACAACTTTTCCTGGGTGCATTTTTGCATGTAGACAAGAGCTATAAAGAAAATGTACTAAACACTTGAAAAAGAAGCACCAGCTACATTTTTTTTCCTCTCTGTCACTCATGTAGCCCTTATGTGCCCTGTCAGTGCCATCACTCAAATCTAAAACAAACACAACACCTGTTAAATGCAGCAGTGTAGACAAAGTGCGTGCCTATGAGAAGTAGGACCTGCAACCCATTCCTGGCTCTGCCATAGCCTTCCTAATAAAAAATCAGATTAATTTGTAAAACAGAACTAAAAGTACTCTACTATCTTATCTCACGGTGTGGTAAGGAAAAAGAATAAATCTACGTGTTACCATGATGAATCCAGATGCTAGTGATATCTGAGTATTATGTATACAAACAAACAGGAACAGCTCTGATCTCAAATACATGCTATGGCAATTTAAGAAAAGTGCCGCTCTATGAGTTACCTGAACAAAAACCAGGGAAATATTAATCTAATTCCTGCATGTGCCCAGCAGTTGCAATGCCAATACTCTACACAACTCAGAAAATGTAAGACACAACCTGACCAAAACTATTTTTGATATATTTTTATAAATCTAGCTATGTGATCAATTTAGAGTATGTCCTGGTTTGAGAGCACCAGGATAAAAGTTCTCTGGGGCACAGGGAGCAATCACAATAGGGAAGGAGGGGCAGCTGTGCTCCTGGGGAGGACTAGTCACAACCTTCCTTCCCATGGTGCTCTGTATAAAAGGGCTCTTAAGAAGAACCCTCAGGTCTTTAGTGTCTGTTGTGCTGGGAGGATTGCTATGGGCTGTTTGTCATCTCTTCCTGAGCTGCTGGTGTTCCTGCCTCCTGTTTTTGTGCTGCAGAGGAGCGCCACTTGTCAGGACAGGCTGTCTTGCTTTGCCTTCCCAGGTGGGAGCTGTGTGGCTGCTTCACGGTTTCCTTTTCTGTTTTTTTTTTGACTGTCATCAGGACTCTGGGCTTGAGTACTCCTGTCTGCTGCTGAGTCCGGTCCAGGACTTCTGTGATCGGGCTAGTTACCATCTGGAAGGTGTGATATTAGCATATTAATTTGTATCTTTGAATACGCTGGTGCAGAACCCATGTCTTCAGTATCGGAGTTTGACATGCCTCTCTGATCCTGCACAGTCACTGCTCTAATCTTGTGCGGTCAGTTTTTAACAGCTTTAGAAATGGGTCATCTGGTACATATTTACCTAGGCGTTTCCATCATTGACACTCCTAGAGTCAAGGGGAGCAGCTGAAAGCAGCCACGTGCTAAGTTGTCCATACCACTTCCCCTCACTTACCATCCTAGAGAGGTGATCACAGGCGTCCTGTGTCCCCAGTAACTATATCTGCGATATTGCTTCATGCTCTCTGTGTAATCGGCACGATTTCTCTAGGCTATCCCTGTATGACATCAGGGTTCATCTAAAACAGGGGCTGTAATCTTTAAAATTGAGTGAATAGTAGGTTGGCACATGTTAATTTGAGTTAATCAATGCAGTATTAAACATCAGCTTAGATATTTTACAAGTGTTCTGTTATCTCCTAGAATAAACTTTATTGTAGTATTCAGACCAATGTTTCTCTTGCTTATGCATCTGAGGTAGTCAGCATTGTTAAAAAAAAAGGCAAAAGGAGCACAACACTTAAGAGACAAAAGGAGAAATTTTAGTTAAAATATTTCACAATAAAATAATTAAGATTATAAATCTCTTTAGTTAAATATATACACATTACATGGTATTCTAAAAAGAATGAACTTATTAAAGTTTCAAGCAGATCTAATGCACAAATTCACCACTTTGTCAGCTTAGACTGTAATGTCAGTTTAACATTCGTAAATGGCTGTCAGACTAAGGGCATTTTGTGCAAAACTAAAAAAAAAAATTGAAAACCAAATCTCAAAATCCTTCTGTTCCCACAGTAAATAGATAGAAAAGGTAGTTTACACATACACTTACACACACAAACTTTGATTGCATACAGAGGTTAGAATGACCAGCACTAAAATAACCCCCATCTCTACAAAATAATTAATTTATTGAATTGATGTAGCTTTTGAAAATTACAAACTTTAAGTGCTAGCAAATTGTGCTTTTAGGCAGCCACATGGCCAATAAGGTAGATGTTGTCATAAAGGTGCCCTACAAAATCTTCACTAATGTTCTGTGCAGCTCGTCGTGTATTTCGGATGAATTCCCTCTTTGACATTTTGTTCTTCACATGAGGGCTCGTTAGATCAATGGATAGCAGAATCAAAGAGTAACACAGTACATAAACTGCATCTAGACAAGAGAGAATAAAAAAAAATGAAAAAGGAAACTGTGATTGTTAAAAATAGTGTTCCCTGTCCAAGAACCTTACAGTGTTCATCATCTGGGCTCACAATTATATATATATGCACATATATAACAGCTCAGAAGGGTATCCCAGTGAAAAAAAAGCTAATACAGTAATCTCGTAATATTTCTGTATTACCCAAAAGTCACTTGGGGTTTTATGAACATTCATTTAAACAGAGTCTCAAAGTTTTTGTAAACTAAGGCCAGTGTCCTTCTAAAGCTTATCTTTAAATATGCAAGCAGTCCCACTGCTAAATGCTGGCTCCCCCCCAACCAATTAGAAATGTGTGTTAACTTGAGCGAGGCCCAAAGTTCCCTCTCATTTCTGCGAGACTATCCACAAGATATCAAGTGTACAAGTCTTTGCAAGAGGGAACCTGGAGATAGTACAGAGCTTAAGCATAGACAAAATCGAAAGAAAGATAACACAAAAATAAACCCCACTTATCAGCTAGGTCTAAGAAAAGAATTTGTACGTTATTTTTGGCTTTTTTTTTTTTTTTCAGCCTGAGTTGGATGATGTCTGTATACTGAACCCTCCCAAACTATGTTTGCATTTTCAGAAATACTTGTCTCGGTGCTGATTTAAAAAATATCATCAACTCAACATCATCTAGAAGCACAAAGACCAACCCACTGAATCAAAGCTCTTTTTTGCTTACCAGGGCTAAGGCCAAGCTCTCTCATCAAATCAGGGTTACAAGCACAGAACCTGTGAGAGAACTTTGTTATGAGAGTCTCAAGGTACTCCCCACGCTCCTCAGGAGCATGAATGTGTCTGAAGAACTCTCTCAGTGCATTTGGCAAGAACTGATTTCTGAAGTTGTGCAGGGTCACAAGGTCATCCAAAACATCTCGCCTGGTAGAATAAAATCCCACATAATTAGAGAAGTTTATTTTAACTGTTAATATATGAAAATGTAGGTTTTAAAAATAAAAGTATGAGCTTTAAAATAGTTTATGAGCTTTGTTTTTTTGCTGAAAGACAACTCTAATAGCACAAAGATAATACAAAGACACGTTCTTCAGACACAGTGGTAGCCAAATATTGCAAAATATACATTGATCAGAATTCTAAGTTTCTTTATATGCATATTCAATCATAATCATGGGATCATAGATTCTACATATAACCTACATAGAGACTTCGCTTCCTCTAAACTGTCTGAGAAAGCCATTAAAAAAAGATAGTAAAGGGAATACATTCATGTATGTCACACATTTGAAGGCCTAAGTAGAAGCTGTTACAGGAGTATCTTGTTAAAATCAGGCTTAAGTTAGAGAAAATTTGCTCACAAAACCCCTTCAACGTTTGAGTTGATTAGGGTGCAATGCTTTCAAGCGTTTCCCACTGCACACAGAAGTATCTAAATGATTCAGACTAGCCTACATGAACAGATGTGAAAAGACATCTGAAAGAAATCTGAAAGCAAATTTTAATGTATATCCTTCCTATTAAACATTTGAGTACTAATAAGTGAGTTTCAACATTTAGAAACTTAGTTTCTTTTTTGTGCCTGGTTATGCTCTCTTTATGAAGGGAAGGTAAATGGCAGTAGAGGCTGCTAATATTAACTTGCGATTTCATCCGTTTAAGCAGGTTTGTGTTTTTTCTATTGCCAAAAAAACCCTGATAACGTGAAGTTTTACAGCACAGAACTGTCAGTGGTGATAACAATAGAGAATGACTCCTTTTACTCCTG